TTTAAAGCTTGCATTTATAAGATACAAACCCTATGGTTGCATTGCATGTGCCTTCCAACCAATTATATCACTCTTTAAATAGCAAATCATGTGCCCTTTAACATGGTAGGTATCATTATCAATTAACTAGCATTTTCTTTAAAAACTACATTAAACTACACAAATAAATGTGATTAACAAATATCATTACATTTGGAGTCCTCAATCTTTTATTCGAATAACTTATGATACTTCATATTGTCGTTTTCATAGTACTTTTTGCTTTGGAAATGTCTTGCGAACTTTCTCGTAAAATATTTGAACTTCCAAAAGCTCCATCCAAACATTCAAATGAAATATGAAGTGACTAATTCCCATAAACTTGTCACATGTAGTGTAGATATGGGTATGATTCTATAGATCTAGCAAATTAGTTGTTCATTTGCATTGTATATCCCAACTTGGCTAATCTGATGGCTCCATGATAACCAGCCTTATAATTGCTTTCAAGACATTAAAAAATATGAAAATAAGGGTGTGTTTGAAGGGGCCAATTCCATGGAAAATGGAAATTCCATTTCCACCAAAATTGTAGTGTTTGATAGCACACTTTTTCCATGGAATTCATTTTCTGGATTGTCTTGGAAATTTTTCTTTTCTTGGTTTTCCACCCTACTTTGACCTTTTTTTTTCTTTTTCTTTTTTTTTTTGTAATGGAAATAAATTCTAAGAATTATTGTAAAAAAATATTTTACTTTAACTAACAATTTTCATGTAAAACAAAGATAAACGAACAATAAAAGATAGATGATTTTTTTGATTTTTTTTGTTGGCAATAGAAACAAATTTAATACCCAACACCAGTAAATTCTATCCCTTTAATTGACAATTTTCATGTAAAATCAAGCCAAACGAACATCAAAAAATACTTTTATTTCCACATTTTCTACGTGAAAATTTATACTAATCAAACACAATAATTTACAATTCTCAGGAAAACAATTTCTAGGTAATTCAATTCTCTGGAATTCGTTTTCAATTCAATTTAATCTTTATAATCAAACGGATCCTAATGTTTATCCAAACTCAAAAACAGAGAAAAAAAGGCTAACTTGGTAGCAGATGATTGGATGATTGTTGTTTTTATTTTTCGATTAGTCAAATCATATGTTGAAACGTGTCTACCCTATTTTTTTTAGCTTGTTTGTGTAGCGTTGTTCCAAAAAATATCAAAGAATCTCTAAAGAAATGGTGGAATGTGATTATCCATGACACAACTATTTGATCCTTTTATAATCATGTTTCATATGTCATTTTAGAAACAAAAAATGCATCGCTCTCTGACTAGATATAATATGATTGTCATATTTTATTCATCACCATCTTATCGGCCAACTAGTGCTATTAATCATTTTCTTGATGATAGTGGTGAAACATGGAAAAAATTGGTATGTAAATTATATTCCAACAATTAACATTTTATGTACAAAAATGAAAAAAAAAAAACTAGATAGAGTTCGAATTTACCGAATTCAAAAAATATTGAAAGAAGAAACGTAGAAAATGAGATTTTGGTCTAATTAAGAATTCAAATCTTTATTCTTAAGAGGATAATGCCCCACACAAGTGTTAATATTTTTTCGATACTCATCTAACAAGATATAACGAAATAACGTCCTGCAATAAGTACACTTCAAATTAGTGATCAAGGAACCTACTAATGTTTAAGACTCTCCTTACATGAAAGGTCAGACTCAAAATGTAGCAATATTTCATAGTGAAAGTACAAAAATATATTAGTGCAGGAATTAAGTGAATGAATTTTACAAATGATAAACCTCATAGATCAATGCTTGAATATCCATTCCACAACGCGTGAGCTCCTGATTGGACTCCTTTTGATGACAGACATGATACCCAGATGAACTGTCATATTTTTGGATGTAATACGTAAGAATACTCTTTATTTAATTCATCCAAGCTTTTCTAAAGCCATTTTAAATAAACGCTATATTTATATAAAAATTAATGTTATTTATAGTCTATTTCAAAAATTAATGTTATTTATAATCTCTTTAAATATAAATTGCTATTTCACATTGATTAGATGTTGACAAAGTAAGTAATTTGGTAGTTAGTCTCTATTTATCCAGTTCGATTTATGGAAAAGACGTTTTGGAGTGTATCTATTAAAAAAGATCAGATCGATCTATTTTTGTAAAAACTTGGTTTAGCTCGTGTTTTGGATGACTCGAGCGATTAAGAAGAAAGATAGAGTTCTGACATGGTTCGTAGTTGATATGGACGGATGATTGAACATAACTATTTTTAAATTTTAATTTCACGAGGCTAATTAGAGCAATCGACGTACCCTTTTTGACGTCTCTAGATTTTGGGTGGGGATTGGGGTTGGTTGGTAGCTTTGGAAACTGGAAGGATTAAAAATGATACAAATGGGAGCATTGGATTATGGATGTAACATGTAAATTGACAGCAGGGTTTCTTGCTGGCTTCTTGAGATTCCACGTGACATATTATAATTGGCAAAACGATCTTTTTTCTTGCATTCGTTTATCTCATGGATTCTACATGAAATTCCTTGATAAACAAAGCAAGTTTCAATATCTTATTCTTGAGTTCACTGTCGGTAGAGATCGTTGATGCTATTTTTAATTCTTCATGCTTCTCATCTTCTACTTAATTTCTAGTGTTTCTTGCTTCAATACAAAAGAACCGGTAAGAGAACTCAAATCCACATATTCCACATTTTCCTCGTACGTATGTTGTTTATTGGCACTGAAATCACAGAGAAGATCAAAGAAAATTTAACTCTCAATTTGACAAGTTCATCTCCGTTGTCTTGTTTTGGACACTTTTGAACTTCAACCTGTTTATTATAAGAATATCACCTAGCTTGAGGTCTTCAATTGCAATGTTATCAGATTGCTTTTCATCCTTATGCTCGTCGTATTATGATCGTAACATCCCGATCATCTTGAATGGCTTCTTTTTTAACCTTGTCTTATGCCTTATAAAATTTTTGCTTTTTATTTAAAGTGGTATTCACGAATTCTCATCACGTGACAACGTAACAATCTTCTTATTATACCACCAAAATATATATGTGTTATCTCGAATTATGTAAGTGACATCTACATCATAATACCATGATGTCTCTTAAGTATATGACAATCGTCAATCTCTACAACATCACTTTGAATTTAGAGGCGCTAATCGTTCCAACAGGCTGTTATTGTATAGCCATGCCTTGTCATCTCTTTCAAGTAGAAAGGACATAAGTTTATTAAGAGGTCTCAAGAAATGTGAAATTAAAATTAATTATTAACTTCAAAATCAATTTTTAGCCACTTTTAATTTTTTCCAAATAAACACAAACGTCATAACATAAAATAAATATTTTATTTTTAAGGAATAAGCTATTTCCCTAGAAATACCCCCTCAAAAGCTTAAAAAACAATATAAGAGAATTAAAATGAAAATATTAAATAATACAATTTTGTGAGGTCTACTGAAAATATATCGCGAACTGAATTCACCAAAGGATATGAGAAATTAGGTAGAAGGAAAAATGAAGAAAAATGGTCATTCTCAAAGCATTAATCTCAAAATTTATTGAGATTATATATTGGTAGAATCCCCAGTTTTAAAATTATTACCAATATAATTTGACAAAAAAGATTAGCAACTTTTAAGTTTTTCCAAAAACAGCAATTAAGCCGTAAGACAAAATAAATATTGTATTTTTAAGGGATAAGCTATTTCTCTAGAAATAACTCCAAAAAGCTTTAAAAACAATATAAGAGAATTAAAGAGTAATTAGCCCTTGTTTGAGCTCCAGCCGTTCGAAAAAAATATATTTTTCAACAGTATTTTGACACCATTTCAATCACAAATTTTCAATAAAATAATATTACACACAAATTCAAAATTTTTCCTTATTTTTTAACCACACATTTTCCATCAATACACTATTCAAAAATTCATTTTTTTTTCTCCAAAATGAGGCTCAAACAAGGGCTAAATATTAAATAATACAATTTTTTTGAGGTTTATTGAAAATATATCGCGAACTAAATTTACCAAAGGATATGCCAAATTAGATAGAAGGGAAAATCAAGGAAGATAAATTGTCATTCTCAAAGCATTCATCTCAAAATTTATTAAGATTATATTTTAGTAGACCAATTTTATAAGCGTAATTAGGGGACAACCTACTTGAGGTCCAGCGGGGTCAACCGCCCTTCCTCGATTCTTTAATAAAATTATTACCAATATAATTTGGTAAAATACATGGATCAGTACAGTAAGTACATGCTTGATTCAAATAAATACCAATCGTTATAACTTTTTTGCATGAGGTTTTTGTTGACAAGAATGAATGGATGCACCTGAATATCCCAATTATGTTGACACTTTTTCTTTTTCAAAATATTGTCTTGTACTATTTTCTTTCTTGACTAACCACAAGGCCAATCTTGAGATTTTAGGAGCCTTATACTAATTTGAAATTATATATATATATTCAAAATTATAAAATTAATAATTTAAAACTTTCAAATGTCTAAATTATTACTCTTCTACATTTTTGATAGAAAATCGACAATTATTTGTCACGTTTCTTTCTCATTTTCAAAAAATAGCCTTATGTAGTAGCTTCAAACAATGATTTTAATTTTTAGTCGCTAAAAATTAGTGGTTTTGTATTATATTTTCTTTAGTTTTGCCAAAAAGGAGAAAAGAAGAGAAATCTATATTAAAAAAATTAAATTAACATAAAAAATGGTTTGTGACAAAAATTTGGAAAATTTCCGCTGAAATTGACTAATGCTGCAACCAAATTAAAAACTAGAGAAATTACTGTCCATATCTAAAGATCAGAGACAAAATTGCTACATTTACTGAATATTGAGGACTAAATATGCAAAATTGTCAAAAATGAAATTAAAGTGGTCTATAAAATACTTGAATGGTATCTGAATATCTCCCTTCCCACAAGGATATCTCCTGTCCTGACTGACAAAATTCACATGTTAATGAGAACGTTAAAGACCCACCCAGATAACCACATGAAGGTGTGAGCATAGGCTGATAGGCCCACCCCACTAGCTCCATCTCCTAGTCATTTTCCTTGGAACAATAAAACTACATTCTCCTAAACTTTAATATCTATATTTGATTGAACCCCCAACCTTGCAAGCTCTCATGGGCTGGCTTTCTGTATATGTTTGTAAAGATGCAGTTTGTTGATATGCATTATTTACATTTTCTTGATTGATTCAGTGTCTTAATTGTGTGTTATCGTTTCCTCTTGTTCTTTTAGTTCTCATTGGTTACCCAACTCAAAGTTATTAATTTTCTGGGTTTTCCATTTTTACTCTTTGATTTTTTATTCTTCTGGGCTTTCTTGTTTACTCAGGAGAATTGTTTTTGTGTTCTGGTCTTTCCTGTTTTAATTTAATCGAGGTGATTCTGGTGGTTTCTACTGCAAAACTGGTATTCTTTGCATCTGAGGGTGTTGAAAGGATTATGTACATTTGCTTTGGTGATTGAATTTTTCTTAGTTATAGTTTGAAAGGGTGGTCATAGAATTATAGAAGAAAAAACCAGTGTATTCGGAAACTGTGTATACAAATAGGGTGTAGAAATACTAGACAAGATAAGATATTTGAGATTTTGATAATTTGATTGGAGTGAGTGGAGTGATAATGGCTGCAAAGATTTTACATTCTATGACAGATGATAATCCAAATTTGCGAAAGCAAATAGGATGTATGACAGGCATCTTTCAACTGTTCGATCGTCAGCCTATTCCTACTGAGAGGCGCATCGTTGGCCATAGGTCGGAGAGGCTGCCTCCTGGTAAATATTTCTCATACTTAGTATTGCTTCATCAATAATCTAGTTGATGAATGTTCGATTTAATGTGTTTCTTAGAGATGCCATAGACTGTGTACTAATTTTACTAAATTTGTGTTGATTCTTCAAAATGATCCATTGAAGATTAATTTTAAATAAATATACTTGTCTAATCTGGTTCAACATATTTCATGCAGAGTGCACACCTTTTAAGTTCATCATATAGTATAAGCCATACGAGCATGATTCATTGTGTTTAGTCTCTTCATAAATAATTCACATTTCTATGATTGCCCACGAGGTGCAATTTTGGGCCATTTCTTGGCTGAAATAATATGTATATTGATTTTGTTTCGTTCACGACCTTTATTTATTATTTCATTTAGGCTTGCAAATATAATGTCCATATCTTCCTGATGAACGTGCTAATTTAAATTTATTTATATATTTATTTGGAACCTTAATATCCTTGCTTTTCTTGACCTAATAAGAATCTCAGGATCAAATGTTGCTGACATTTTTGCAGGAAATTCCCACTTCTACAATGACACTTTGGAAACAGAGTCTAATACTGAAGAACGAAGGTCTGCACCAGTGGTAAGAAATGTTTATTTCGAGTTTTTCTCGTGGAAACATTACTCCTGTGAATCCACTTAATTCCTTGCTTTAAGGACAGTAATGAAAATTTTAATTTGTGGACTCAAGAGTCTTTATAACCAATTCAACAGGACTAAAATTTGAAAAAATTTAGTCTATATTGCCAAGATTCTAAGTCCTGAAATACATAAGCTTTTCAACCCCCAAGTAGCTGGTCATTAATACCCTTACCACAATGCCCTCTCGAGATACAAAAACAGCACCTTATGGAACAAAAATTATGTAGATTACCTTCATATAGCTTCATCCATTGATGTTAGAATTTCTGTTAAGGAATGATCAACAGTATCATGGTGCAACTTTTTGGTTTGAATACAGAGATCGTTTTGAAAAAAAAGTTTACTCCATTGACATTTTAGTGGAAGAATCTACAGGATTATGGAAACCATGACCAAAAAATATTGTGTTAGGTGAAATTGCTTGTGTAAGTTGGTAAGGGTACGTCTTCTATGGAGAAGTCCTTAAGGTTGGGAATGTGTTGAAAATGTAAATAAATTGCTATCCTCTTGGGTAACTTAAAGCTTTTTACGAGGTTGTGATTTCGACTATTTTAAAACTTATCCAAATGCCCTTTGAAATTCCCTGTGAAGTTTTGTGATGTATTTATCTGTTGAGAATTTGACTTTCTGCTATTTGATATGGCAGGAAAAGTTTTCCAACAATAACATTCAAGAGAGACAGAGAGTCTCCAGAGAGTTGTCCAGGGCCTCCTCCTCATCCTCACGTTCATCTTCTTTCTCTTCTCTTGACTTTAACCAAACTAATCAATTAGAATCCATGCCCTTTGACCGCATGATTTTTCCTGAAACTCCTTCAAGAAATCCAGCAATGAACATGCAAAATTCATCTCCACAATATAGTCGACAAGCCCTTGATCTTCGGGATGTTGTGAAGGACTCCATGTACAAGGAAGTTGAAGGTTTATCAGTTAAAGCCGAAACCATAGAGGAAGCACCTGATCTTATGGTGAAGTTCAAGGATTTCCCAAGGCAACTGCCAAGAATTGTGGATGGTTCTCAGGACACTGCTAAATTTCGAGAAGCACCTTGGTATCATAATGAACCGAGAGAACTTTTAAGATCATCATCCTACCACTCAAAAGACAGGTCTTCGTTCTCAATTTCAAAAGATGCCCGTAGATTTTCTTATGATGGGAGGGAAATAAGCTACATACCCTTTGAATCACAAGTCTTTCCCAATTCTACCCAAAAGCTTAAAGATTTTCCAAGACTTTCATTAGACAGTAGAGAAGGTTCAATGCGGAATTCAAATGCTAATTCGAAATCCATCTTTCATGCCAAAACGTCGCACAAGGACAGTGGTGAGTTTAATGGTGAGGTTCAGAGTCTGCAACAAACATCAGGAAATCAGGCACGGCCAACAAGCGTTGTAGCAAAGCTGATGGGTTTGGAAAACCTGCCTGATTCTGTTGTAGTTGGTGATACAAACTCGAGCTCCAGGGGAACTTATCTGGTGGAAGAATTTGTTAACTTTTCGAGGTCATCTGCAGAAACAGATTCATCGAACCAAATCCAACTGTCTACCTCCTCAAAGTTATGGAAAGAGCCTAGTTCACCTCGTGGGAGAAATCCTGATTCCATCATGAGACATATATCCCGATTTTCCATTGAATCGGCACCAAAGAAGCGAATTGATATGACTAGACTTCCTCGGAAACCAGCCTCTAGAAGTACTCGAGGTTCAGTCAAGGTGCCAAACACCTTTCCTTCTGTTTACAGTGAGATAGAGAAGAGATTGAAAGATCTCGAATTTGCACATTCTGGAAAGGACCTTAGAGCACTAAAACAGATACTGGAAGCTATGCAGGCGAAGGGACTCTTAGAAACCCAAAAGGAAGGACAAGATTATAATGTGACATGTCTGAATGACCATGAGCAAAGGTATACAAGTTCGAGACATGATGTAAGAACAGTAAACAACCAAAAGCTTCAAACTGATCTAGTTCTTGCATCCTCCCAAAAGAGGGCTGATTCTCTGAGACATTTTGAATCTCCAATTATAATCATGAAACCAGCAAAACTCGTTCAAAAATCTGATATGCCTGCTGCTTCTGTAATTTCACTTGATGGCTTTTCTGGTCTACCCAAACTTCAGAGTGGTAAGTTCATTCATAACAGAAAGGATTTAAGTAGCAGAAGAGCTGCCAAAGATCGGATTTTTAGAGAAGGAAACCGTGATAATTCTGTAAACTCTGTCAATAGGAGAACAGACAACAGAAATTTAAAGACTGCACATACTTCAGAAAGAACCCAACAGTTACATAGAGAAAGCACCCCCGGATTCAGAAAGAGTTCAGAATCCATTAGCCCCAGAATTCAACAGAAAAAACTAGAGCTGGGAAAGAGATCCAAGCCACCCACACCTCCTGATTCAATCAAATCAAGAAGACAGTCAAACAATCAACAAGAAGAGTTGAGCTCCCCAGGTGGCTTACGCAGAGCAAAGCATCCCAACGCACATCAAAGCAATGACAGACTGAGTGAAGGCAGCAGCAACTTGAGAAATTTGAATTTCCAGAAGAATGAATTTTCTGTTCATTCCAATGGGGGTATCATATTAGGCTCAAAAAAAGTGGAAGTCACTAGTTTTGATGAAATTTCTCCTGAGATAATGAAGTCTGCTGAGTTCTTGATATCTGGAGCAGTAGAGAAGGTTTATGCTTTGTAGATTACACGTGTATATATATAATTTGGTCCCTTAGTCAATTGCTAACATGTTTCATGGTTTATTCCAGAAACCCAACTGGATGGTGAGTGAAAAGGAACAGGCAGAGGCACGTGCTCCTCTCGAGTACCCCAGCCCTGTCTCTGTTCTTGACAACAATGAGCATACAGATGATTTGCCTTCACCTGTAAAGCAAGTTGGAATGACCCTGAAAGGTAATACTCTCTTGTGTAAACGGATTTCCATAGCTTGTATATTGAGTAGTTTAACGTACTAGTAAAATTACGAGATTTATGTACAAAGCAGTAAATCCAAATATTGCATCACATCACTCCAAAGGTCTGATAAAAGTTTTACTCCTACAAGATATTATGGTCTTTCCACGGCTATCTACGTAGTGCGGCTAAACTTGATATGGAGTTTTCCTTGTTCCCTTTTCCTTTTTCCTTTTGAAGAGGGGAAAATATATGGGATATTCTATCTTCATCTTTATCTTTATCATCATCTATTCAATTTCTTTCAATTATACTATATCATTTACTTCTCAGGGGATGAACCCAGAATTTTAAACACAATGGAAGACATTTTAGCAGATGATTTCATACTGAACTCCAGGAGATCTGGTAATACATCTGAAATTAATGGAAAGAAACTACAGGACATTGATAACTTAGTTCAGAAGCTTAGAAGGCTTAATTCAAGCCACGATGAAGCACATACAGATTATATTGCCTCTCTCTGTGAGAACACAAACCCCAACCACAGATATATTTCCGAGATTTTATTAGCTTCAGGGCTCCTCCTCAGAGACCTCGGCTCGAGCCTGACAAATTTCCAGTTTCATCCATCGGGACATCCTATCAATCCCGAGTTATTTCTGGTCTTGGAACAAACCAAGGCAAGCAGTTTACGCAAGGAGGAGTTTAGTGCTGAAAAGACAACTCAGTTGCTTACCAGGGAGAAATCTCATCGAAAACTCTTCTTTGATGTTGTAAACGAGATTCTTAGAAGAAAATTAGCTTCGATCGGACCCTTGTCTGAACCTTGTTTGAGACCAAATAAGCTGGCAAGGAAGGGCTTTAATGCACAAAAGCTTCTCAAAGAATTGTGCTCAGAGATTGAAGAACTTCAAATGGAAATTTCAAAATGCAGCTTCGTTGATGAGGACAGCGGACTGAAAAGAATCTTACATGAAGATTTCATGCATCAATCAGAAACCTGGATAAGTTTCAATGGTAAAATTTCAGGCGTTGTCCAGGATATTGAGCGCTTAATCTTCAAAGATTTGGTTGACGAGGTTGTGGTTGGCAAAGTAACTGGTTTGAAGACCAAACCGATTCGGCGTGGACAGATCTTCGCAAAATAGTAACTTTTGTCTGCTCATTCTGTGAAATCCTTCTCGTTTGATTTTCGTTTACCATTTTCTTCTCGTGATTTACGGTGATTTTTGTTAAAAAGATATAAATTATTAGTATAAGCTGCAGTTCATGTTTTATTGTAAAAGGAAAAATCCAATTGACTGCACCATAACATGTTACATATTTATATTATAGCATTGTAATTAAGAAACACTTCGTTTATTTCTTTTTCCCAGCAGGCAATTTTGTTAGGGAAATGTAGAAGCTTGTTCTTGGGCTATATACATGTAGTTACATGTTGTATAAGCAAGTATGCTGTTTTTGCTCTTTCAATGTACAAAATAGTTGAGAGTTGAAGCTATGAAGGTTTGGGTTGCGAATGTTAAATTCTCTCTCTAAATTTTTCCATTTTTTTTTAATCTCCAAAAAAATCAAAAAGTAGAGTAATTTATTAAAGTGAAGGTGTTGACACATAAAAATTCAGCCCAAATCGAACAGCCCAGAGAATAAAGTCCAATTGGAGGGTCCCCAAATCAGATAGCCCAAATAACGAAATCCAATTGATGTGAATGCCCAAATAAGGGGCCCAATAGTGCGGTAACGCCATCGCCCAAATTTGCAAGTCGCTCAGAGTCTGAACTAATAGAGTGGCATACGGTCGTCCAAAGTCTCGCCCAAATCTTCAAGTCGCCCAAGGTATCAACAAACATAACGCATTATGATGCAGTTATTGAGGCAGTTGCTAAAGTAATTTCATCACGTTCCACGACTCAAGGGGTTCAATCGAAAGCGGTTGAACGATGCAAGATAACGGCAGCAGTTAAAAGACAGTTGCATGACAAAGTGGCCATTACAAAGAAAGTGGGTAGTTATTGGGCGATCAAGCAGTTTTTTAGAGCAGTTAATCACAAAGGGATCGCCTATGAAGTATAAAAGGGAGAAAGAACTTAGAAGCAAGGACCGAATCCAAAACTCTCGAACAGAGAATATGTAATTTTCATTCCTTTAGCTTTTAGACTTAAACATTTCCTTTTCTGTAACTCGTGTGCTTGCGCCCCTTGGAGGCACGTTGTTTTCCGTTTCCAATTGTAAAGTTCATCGCCAATAAAAAGAACACCCCTTTTTGGGACTTTGTCTCAAGAGGTTTCGTCCCTTACACAATCGTCTGATCCTCTTTAATTGTTAGCGAATTAACCCGCGCGAAACAGAAGGAAATAAAAATAAAATACAAACTTGGAGTGACATATGATCTCTAGCCTATAACAATGATAACCAATTTAAAGGACGGGGAGCAAAAGAATTGCAGAACAAAAAGAATCATAAATTTTTGCGAGTTCTCATCAATGTACTTCGATTGAGGTAATTTGTAGGCTTCTCATAACTATTGTAGTTGTTCTCTTCAAATTAAGTAAGAAGAAAAACCTCGAACATCCTAAGGGCATCTCCAATGGTTGCACCATTACACCATTTTGTACCATTTTTTGGTGCAAATTGAATATTATTGCACCATATTTGGTACAACACTATTCATTACTCCATTTTTTGCACCAAATGATGCAATGTCCATTTTATCCTTATTTTTCATTTTTCAATATAATAGTTGAGAGTATTTGTGTCATTTTCGTTCTATAATGATAATAATAATGATAATAATGATGATGATGATGATAATAATTAATTACACTATTAATTATATTATTAAAGTTTATTATTTTTAATAATATAATCAATAATAATTAACATAATTGTTAATTTATCGTAAAGTTTAATTCGTAAAGTTTACGTTTAAAGTTTAATTTAACGTAAAGTATATTATTTTTGTAAATTTAACATAATTTTTATCATAAATTAATAATATAATCAATTATTTTTATCAATTTAATATAATATATAAAACGTGTGAATAATTTAGTAATCAATATATTTGTTAATTAAACAAAGTTACGATTTAGTAATTTATATAGTGATAAAATAAATAAATAAATAAATAAATATTTTAAAATAAATACATTGCCAAAAATTGAAAGAATGAATAAAATAATAAATCGCCGTTCATTTGGTGTAATGTTTGGAGAAGAATTTTAGTTTGGTGTAAGATTTGATACAAAATGGTGTAAATTTTGGTACAGCGTTAGAGATGGCCTAACATCCTCTAGTTTGAGTGAGATTTGTAGGTTTTTGGTACATATTAAGAAGAAAAACCTTAAACATTCTAACTTCCTTAAGTAATAATAGAACTAATTTCAGTTAATGCTATTCATCTAGATTGCTATGATCTGCATTGAATCTAGTTTATATATAATATTTTGAACTAGACGATCAACGTAGCTTATAAGATTTTAATTTCTCTTTATTTATTTAATGTTGTTTATCTTTATCTATCTTACCAAACTTCTAATCTTGTCCAAAACTGCATTCTATCGAGTCCAAGCCAATAGTTTCACCAACAATTTGGCAGGTTTGTAATATGGGTTTCTTTGTCAAATAGATAGGGTTCTTTCATCTCTCAAAATCTACACAAAACCCCGCCCCGCCCACCACCCCCATATTTATAATATGGCATCTCTACCTTTGCTGAACCAACCAATCCATCATCTCCTCAAAAACCACCACCCCATTAAAACTTCAAGAAAGCCACCCAAAATGGCCCTCACCATCAGAAGAAAAGCCTTGAACATTCTAATAACATCCTTAACACTTGTCCTAAACACACAAAGACAAGAAACTGCAAATGCCATTGATTTCAGAATGACAGTCCCAGACCAAACTCTTGAGGAAGCAGAAACTGGAATCAAAACCCACGCACAGAATCTGCTACAAGTGAAGGATTTGTTATTGGAAGAATCATACAAAGAAGCCCAGAAGAATCTGAGGAAAAGCTCTTCATTGCTTAAACAGGATATTTATACAATTATTCAAGCAAAGCCAGGGAAAGAGAGGCCTCTTCTGAGGAAACTGTATTCTGATTTGTTCAATAGTGTTACTCGATTGGATTATGCAGCTAGGGATGAGGATAGGACACGTGTGTGGGAGTGTTATCATAGTATTGTTTTAGCCCTTGATGATATTTTATCAAAACTATAAATCGATGTTTTGGTCATAGGTTAGAGATTAATTGCCGTCGGCTCCGTTTCATTCATATAATGATACAGATCTTGTTACTGGTTGGATGGGTGCGATGGCTGTATATGAATTATTGGCTCTATTCTTGATCCAATATGAAGATAGTGTAAACTAGTTGTCTTATTTGCAAATCCCATATCTATGTTCATTTTAAACTAGAAAATATTTCGATGATCAGTGTTCTAATAGACGTAATGCCAAATAGCTGCCAAAAAGAATTAAGCCCGAAAACACAATATGTGCCCCAAATACACCTTCGTAACTCCAAATCCTTGGACCGTGAGTTGTTGCTCCCACTTGCACTTCATGTTTTCTACGGTTTGGAGCTCTTGCACAATTACTTGAAGTCAGTTACATATACCTAATTTTTTGCCTTTTTAAGTTGTGTTCTTCGACAAAAAGTAATATCGCTACTTCAAATCAAATGTGAGGTTGATAATTGCTTAATTTTGAGTATCTAAATAGTAAACTTTGTTGCTCAATTTGGTACATATATCTGACTGATTATATTTTATAAATATGCAATTTGGTCCCTGAATTTTCTGGATTATGAAATTTGATCCCTGATTATTTATTGATTTGTCCAAATTGGTCCCTGTATTTTCTTAACTCTGCAATTTAGTCCCTGAGTTATCTACATTTTGTTAAATAGTCTTGATCCTGAATTATCTGGATTCTGAAAAATCAGCACCCAAATTATCTTTTTTGAGCAAAATTAGCCCCGATCCTGTTGGGCCAACTCTTGGCCCAAATTCAGCCTAGACTTTTCAGGCATTTTCATTCTCGTGGGGGTCAAATTATCGCCCTCAAACCCTTCTACTCGCTTATTAGGGTTTTACAGAACTGATCTTATAGCATTAGTAACTTGTGCATAGCAACTGGTACAATCAGTCGAAGATGGATAAGAGCATGCTTGGAGACTTGGACTCTCTGCCCGAGGACGATAAGCTCCGAATGTCCTCCATGATTGACCAGCTCCAAATCCGTGACAGGTATACCCGTATGTATAAAATTCTTGACTTGAAGGACCATAGCTGTTAGGAACTTTATAGCAACACTACGATGCTCCTAATAACAAAATTTTCAATGGAATTGTTATGTGTGGGTATGTGCACTTATTATATTTTTTCCGTTCTATTTCTGAATTGAAGCATTATAGCTTTTTTGGAACTTTATACAACACTAGGGTTCTCCTTAAAATTGAATCTTTAGAAAAGGGCGAACAAAATTTTCAATAGATTGAGCTGTATGTAATTATTCAATTACATTGCATCAGTTGAATGCCATATGTTTGGCTAGTTTTTAGAATTTGGAAATATTTGTTGCTGCCCTTTCTTTCATTTTTCTGTTGTTTCTCAGTGTACTGTATTGTTCATATGATAAGTAGAATCTTATGATTCTTTATTATTCTGTTAACTAGAAATGCTGATAGCAGGTTCGGTTGAATTCCATTCTAGTTTTAATATTCAAGGATCCAACATTTGTCAGATGTAGTTTCTATTTTATCCTCCTTACTGTTGTCTAGAATTATTATCACAAGGATTTGTTATCCAACTGTCTATTTGATCTGATATGCTTCTGAACATATGTAGGATGTCAAAAAAAACTAAGATATATGTGCAGGATTTAATTATGCGTCCAAACATCAAGGTCAGAAAATCTTAGAGCCCCAAGGGCATGCAAAATTTGAAATCAATTCTTAACCTTTTCTTCCATATATAAGTTGATGCATTGTGTACAAAAATGGAGTTCAGAATTTGCATTTAGCCATACAACTACTAACTGGGCATACATGGAAATGTTATTCTACATATGTATCATTTCAAAATCTAGCCCATCCTAGAATTCCATGTCCTACTAAACTTTATATTGTAGCCCACACTAAAATCTTTCTATTTTCGCTCTTGGATGCAAGCTTCTTTTTTTATCTGCTTTAAGTTTACATATCAAGATGGAAAGTGGTGCACCCAGAAATGACTCCTGTAAATGTTAAACTTTCTTTCCCAAGAATTCATGCCGAGTCAGAAGAGACATTTACTTTCGGAAAATTTGCAGTAGTAGTCCCCAATGCTTTGGGGTTATTGTTAAAGGTCTTTTTGAACAGTATCTGTTTTAAACGGCATTAAATTGAATGAAAAATATTTTTCCTTCACTTACAGATGAGAAAAAGTAAATATAAAAAGGGAAAATTTGAAAAGAAATGAAAAACAAGAAAAATTGGAAGGAAAAAAATCCTTCCTACACCAGCCCCCCTTGGTCCCCACCCCTTCCTTGCCCATCCATCATGTTTGGTTACATCTGAAAGGCAGTGGGAGTTAGAGAGGGGGGCTGTAGGGGAAGTTATATTTTTTTCTTTATTTCCTTTCAATTCATTTTTCTTTTTAGTCTTTTGATTTTTTCCTTATTCGAATTCATTCGATTTGACTGATGATGTGGAGAGAAACCATTTAGAAGGGCCTCTTTTGGTTTCGAAAATCGAAAACAGGGGACATTATTTCTAGTAAGGAATGGGACCTAATTACCAATGGCCCCAAATATTTGAAGCTGTGCCTGCAATTTTCCTGATAATTTGAGACGTGGGAGTAAAAAAATTATTCAGAATTGTTAAAAATTCGGTGAATCAATTCTGTGGTGCTTTTCTAACTGAAGTTTGACATTGGATTTATAAATATATTTTCCAAGCTAAAAACATTAGTTGTTGGTTTGATAAACTGGACTTGTGTGTGCATTATCTGTTGGTGGCATTCAACTACGCAAGTTAATTATCAATGTGGTCTTTGTATAGGCTTTTCTATCAAAATTGTCATCTTTTGACCACTATCTTTGCCTAGAATATTTGATTTTTTCACCCACAAGCTGATTATTGTTTTCTGTCATTATTGTGGTTAGTTGTAGGACCTCGAGCTTGATTTTGTAGTAGGCACCATGCAGTGGAAGAAATTTGAGAATCCTGCGATTTATTGTTCAACGAAAGTATTTAGTAAAAGACTGAATCAAGCCTTGGGAGTGGAAAAAATTGAGAGCTTTGATGCAAATTTTACAGAATTAAGATTGCTGCGAAAGAGTAGAAAAATATAGGTGGATTAGATTTAAAATAGTACTGGAGGAGGATAAAGGTTTTGGAACTATACTGGCTGTGTTGGGAAATGCAGCTGCTACATAGTACTGCCTATATTCTTTTTCGTGGTCCATTGATTGGAGCAATGATTTTACATGAACTTATGAATAAAACTTGGCCAACTTTAGTAAGATAACAAACCAAGGCATAAGACCGATGAAAACTGAGACGGATCAATTAAGCTCCAAATTAGGCGTGTGCAAATAGAAACTCAAAAATAATTGGCATGCATTCATTGCTTTTGTATAAATCATTCCTTGTTTAGACATCTATGGTAAGGTGGACTTGACATTATTGGACAGTGTTCAAATCACGAAGAAGCCCCCAAATGAACAACCTTCTATCTGGCCGCCTCTGTACCGGTAGTCAAGTGGAAGCAGTAATTCCCTCAGCATCATTTCCAGTTTATTCTGAACCAACACCTGCTAGTTATAGTTAATAACCTAGTCATAATTTGTTTAGTTTGTAATTAAAAAACAACAAAAAAAAAAAGAAAAAAAAAAAAAAGGGATGTTTTGTATGAAATTGGCTGCCCAATATCTTTTTGACCGTGATGACAATCGTTTTTCCAATCCTGAAAATGGCAACGTTTGCATGTTCCTTTTCTGTTGCAGTTTAAGGATGTACAACTCACTGGTGGAAAGATGTTTCACAGATTGTGTAGACACCTTTAGACGCAAATCTCTAGACAAGCAAGAGGAGACTTGTGTACGCCGCTGTGCTGAGAAGTTTCTGAAGCACTCGATGCGTGTTGGTATGAGATTTGCTGAGCTCAACCAAGGTGCAGCTACCCCAGATTAAGATACCTGAGATTTACATTTGCAATCATGTTCTGGCACATCTAATTGTTTTTTTTTTTTTATGGAAGTAATTTCCAGTTATTGACTTGTGATCCATTGCAGACTATGATATGCCTTTATTCACTGGCATAAAATGTTCCAAGTTTTAAAGATTTTGTATTGCTAGTTTGCGGGAAAGAATAAGATGAATAATGATTTTTCTTCTGTTCAGTATTTAAATTCCTAGTGGAAGATTAGTAGAATACTTGAAACTGCAGTGCTAAATATGGAAAAAGTGGAGATTATTTTCGAATAGAAGTTAACTTCTTCTTTTTTTTCTTTTTTCTTTTTTTTTTTTCAGCTTTTTAGAATTTAAATAATCTCAAATAGTAATATAAGCTATAATCTGTACAATTTAAAACTTTTTAAATGTTAATATTGAAAAAATAAAGTACGTAGCAATTAATTTTTCTACTTCGAAAATAATAAGATTGACAAACAGAGAGCATAATTTCAGGTTGTTAAAGTGTATGACGAAACCATTTTTGTACCGTACAACAAATGGAAATTCATCATAATGAGAAGTGTCGGCTCTGACTATAGGCGGGGTAGGCGATTGCTCAAGACTTCGGTGAGCGTCTCAAAAAAATTATTATTTTTTATTTTACATGTATTTGTACATATATATAAGGTGTCATATTTGAAATTGGTTTTAAGTCCCCAAAATCTTAGGACCGACCTCGAGAAGTTTGAATCCGAGACTACTAACAAGTGAGGAATTGATCATTTTTTTCATTAATAGAACTCACGAAGTTGCTATTGAACTATCCGCTTACATTTTTTCTTCTCCAACTCAAGTCTAAGTTAATTGATTATTTGTGTATTTCAAATAATTTCTTTATTGTATTTTTCAAGAACTTATTTCGTTATTATGTATTTACCAGATTTTCATCCTATATTTTACTAATTTTGATTATATTCTTGGTACATTTTATTTGCTTAAAAGATAACTAACTTTGGATCGTGTCAAGAGAACATCATTGAACTTTAAAGTGTTGTTGATACATCATTGAACTTTATCATAATGCTCATCCGTCACTTATCAGGATTCGATTTGTTAGCTTTGGCGAACAGCCCATGTGGCAAATAATTCACGCGTGGCAGAAATTATTGTCCAGTTCTCCTAACAAGCGATGGAAAAAAAAATAATAATAAAAATAAAAAACAATTCTAACGATTGTCCCGGTGAATATAGTTTTATAGATGAATAACGAAAGCTTGTGCTGCTGCTATGCAATATGTTCATAGATATCTTTGTATTTATGTTCTTTTAGGGCAGACAAAAAATTAAATAACTATATATCGCCCGTGTATTTCTATTATTATTATTTTTTTTTTGGGACGACGGAAGAACCTGCAGTCGCTACCCTTTGAGTGCGTACTGGGTAAACTCTCAGACTGACACAAGAACTTGTAAACCACACCTTGTATTGTTATTGGTACTTGTGGAGAGAGCTTCTGTTGACTGCTGCTGTTTCAGAAATTTTATCTTTATTCAGTTGTCTAATTTTTGGCAAATTCCGTTTTATTGGTTTCCATTAATTTTCTCCCCACACCTCTTCACTGCAGAAATTACTCCGTGCAGTATGCCTTTTTGCTGGCCTTTTCGTTAGTAACTAAAATGTATCACGAACACGCAACTTAAAAGAGATCGATGTATATCAATGACAAATCAAACCGTTGCACTATATCGACTAGATGGGAGGTGCTATGTTTCGTTTCATCACTTGAGAAAAAGACCAATAAAATAAAGCGCGCACAAGAACCTTCGAACAACGAGTCCCCAATCTGTTGCAAACAGGAGAAAGATTTTCCATTCCTTAGCTGGAAATATTTGCCAGGAAAAGAGAATTAAGTAGAAGAAAATTGACAGGATGATAGAACTGTGGAAACACTTCTTCCATATTTTGAACATCCTTTATGTCTTCCAGTCACATGGATGCATGATTAGGCCATTTTATGCAAATTGTAGTACCAAAATTATCATATTTCGACCATCAAAATTCAGAGCTGACACAACATTCTGTCAAATTTTCAGCTAATATTTTCGTAAAAACAGTCTGCTAGACGTAAAGTTAACAATAACGAAACGTATGAAAGGCATTTCAGTTTCCATGAAAGCACGCCTAGAAAAGAGAGGTTCCCTTTCCTTTCTTGTCTCCACCAATTTCAAAATGCTTGCACCTCTGCAAGGCCAATAATGATAATACAATTGTAAGTATCACTCATGGATATGAGAAAGATATACTAGATATAAATATAAAAAAACAACCTTAATTGGATGCTGGGATACATGCTTGCAGCCCTGACATTGCAATCTCAGCACAATCTTCTTTGTTGTTTTTGCCTATACCGCAAAGACAAAAATAGAACATTAGTTCAGTCAAAATTTGGACCAACTCTCTACCAGCAAAATAACAGAGAGACATGAGTCAGTTTTAAAAACCTTACTTTCTGAGGTGGTTATAACATTTTCTTATTTAAATCATGCTGGTAATGGTAAATTTAATCTCCTCGCTAAAGAGATTTTGGATATAATCAAATTAATAGTATGTAATCAGTTTTCACCTTCTTGTGGAAGACAGGCTTGGTCTGTCCACCATAACCTGACTGCTTGCGATCATATCGACGTTTGCCCTGAGCAGCTAAGCTGTCTTTTCCCTTCTTGTATTGCGTAACCTTATGCAAGGTGTGCTTTCTGCACTCCTTGGATTTGCAGTAGGTCTTCTTTGTCTTTGGAACGTTCACCTGCAAATACCAGTTCAGGATTAAACAATTAAGATGCCAAAAGCACGAAACGGCAGCAGTTGAAAATTAAACAATAAGCAAAAATACTAAAATGGCGCATATAGTAATAAACCTTGTGCTTCAAACTGCTTAGAATGTGAACAGACCCAGCAACGTGCAGCGACTAGTGATTAACAAATAACTAGAAAACACTGAGGGAGAAATGCTTTGCAATTTGGAGGTAAAGAATCAAGAACTCGGATAAAAAGCACACAAAGTTACCTACTGATTAGTGAAATGTAGTCAATGACAGAATTGGAATCAGATTAACGAAGCCCCAAAATCTTGAAGAAATTTTCTAAAAGACCATCTTAAAAATAGTGGGAAAACAACTTGATACTAAACAAAGGGGCCTTGGGGGAATAAAAAAAAGCAAACATTAAAACCGCAAGTATCTTATGTCAGTTGACAAGAATTCAACTGGAGAGGCAGCTACATATGCAGCTACTGAACAGCACAAAGAAAGACAAACGGGCTAGCATAATAAGCTTTTGTTCTAAACTCAATCAAAAATAATTCTGTGCAGATTCAAAAGAGCAACAATTAAATTTTCAGACAAGAAACATGCTAGGAGTGTGAAGGGTTGAAAATAAGTTCCATAGGATGAAGTGTTAAATCAACAATAGCATACAGAAGCACGACAAGCTGGTAGTAAGAAATTCAAACTCGCTATACATCCAGAAATGTAGTAAAAAAAGGTTGTTCTAGTTCATTTGGTTCATAGAAGCTTTCTTCGATCAGATTTACACAGTTAATCAACTGTAATTCTGGTCATTTCTTTATTGCACCTAGATCCTCATTAAATACCCCAAAATAACTCTAAAACGCGAAACAAGATGCAAGAATTCATCAATAAAAAAGGAACTATTAAGCCTAAAAATAAGAAAAAAAATCTCAAAAATAAAATAAAAATATATCAGGCAAAAACCAACCCACTCAACTGAGTTTTTTCGTTCCTGTCTTTGGTCACCATAAAAATAACACTGAATTGACAACATAATTCAGAAAAACTCACATTAATTTAAACACGTCCATTTAATCATATATCATATCTTCATTACAAAAAATAAAAATAAAAAACCGAAAGGCTAACAGATCTCAAAATAAACAAACTAAAAACAGGAAATTAGAAAAAATAAAAGTAAGAAAAAATATATATATATATATATATATATATATCAGGTGAAAACCAACCCACTCAACTGACTTTTTTCGTTCCTGTCTTTGGTCACCATAAAAATAACACTGAATTGACAACATAATTCAGAAAAACTCACATTAGTTTAAACACGTCCATTTAATCATATATCATATCTTCATTACAAAAAATAAAAATAAAAAACCGAAACGCTAACCGATCTCAAAATAAACAAACTAAAAACAGGAAATTAGAAAAAATAAAAGTGAAGGAAAGCTTAATGAAACTGCAATTACCATGGTTAATGGCACAGATAGCCGGAAATCGAGTGGCTTGATGCTCGGCTGTGCAAAATGCTGTCTTCGAAACCCTAGCAGCCGAACGTCGCTGTTATTTATACAAAGTTAGGTTTTAGATGCCAGGCCTAGCCCAAATAAAAAATAAAAAATGGGCGGTGTATTATGGGCCATTAGCTTTTACAGATTTCACACACAAATGGCATTGAGAAGAGACAGAAAACGATTC